CCCCAAAGACCTCTAATGATACCTCCTTGATCTTCAATCATAGGTCCTTTTTAGTTAATGACTAAATATATCCAATACCAACATAAAGAGGAGAGGGAATAGAGTGGGATCCATTCAGAATTGATATTTTTTATATGTAGCAGCTAGACGCACAGGCAAGGTGCATTTTAAGGTATGTGCCTAGTGCACCTTTTTGAATTTTGCGCATTTTTTCTCCTTTTTAAGCTTAGCGGATGGGCCAAGGGCTTACCCCTGGACCCCCAACCAAGCCCCTTGAGGCAAACCCAAATAAGTCTATGTTAGGGTCTTAAAATAATAAAACTAATCTTTTACGTACAAAATAAGAATTTAAGACCCTAACATAGACTTGTTTTGGATTGACTCAAGGGGCTTGATACAAAGGCAGCTTGTAGAATCAGGAATGCAAAATGTTTAACATCACATTAGCTATTTGAAGTAATGCAAATGGGAAAAAAAGTAAAGAGATTGAATGTTTCACATGCTTGAATATGTTTTATATGTTATGTTTGATTTTTTTTTTACATTTTCATTTTGAATATGTTTTACATCTTATGTTTATGTATTTTAATTTGAGATAATAAGTTTTTTAAAAATTTAGTTTATATTTTTAATTATATTATGTTTAATATTTTTATATTTTGCATTTTTTTTGAATTTTTTGGCATTTTTTGCACCTTGCTTCAAAAAGGCATGCAACTCACTTTGTGCCTTGCGCCTTGGGCGCAAAATGCCCCTTGTGTTTTTAAAACACTGTTCTGTTGTCATCTTCTCATAAACAATACATGTGGGTAATTCTAAGCATCAGTCATAGAACCATTTTTCAACTCTTTTTCATATTCTTTTCTTGCTCCAAATGGTGCATTGACTCATGTTTAGGGTCATTGGTTTTGTTCATATCTGGCTATGAGTTGTAGGAAGGACCAAAATTCTCTATTTTCTTGCACACCACCTGTTTTCAGATATTTTCATTTAGTAATATTGGTATTTGAACACATCAAGTAACAGACTAGATGTTTTGCCCATGTTGGACTTTGACTATTTGGTTATTCTCTGTTTTGTGGTTCAGGTTTCAGGATTGGAAATCAGAGAGATCTTTAAGTTCCAAGTGGCAATTTTCCTCAAGAGACGAATTTCATCCAGGAAAGATAAGCACAGGAATAAGATCAGTTTCAGAAAGGATCCAAAGTAGTTTTGAACGAGGTTCTCAAGGGATTAGAAGTATAAGTAAATCATTGAACTTCAATTCTGTTACTGGTACACAGACAAAAGATTCAGGATCTAGAAGGAAAGTTCTTGACCCACAAGAGCCATTCCTTCAAAGGTGGAACAAAATATTTGTACTCTCATGTGTAGTTGCAATCTCTCTGGATCCATTATTCTTCTATATCCCAGTCATCTATCATAAAGATGAGAAGAAGTGCCTTGATTTGGATAAGAAATTGGAGATCACAGCTAGTGTGTTGCGTTCATTCACAGATATCTTTTATTTGCTTCATATTATCTTCCAATTTAATACTGGTTTTATTGCTCCTTATTCTCGAGTATTTGGAAGAGGTGTTTTGGTTAAAGATCCTTTGGCTATAGCAAAACGATATTTGTCATCTTATTTCCTAATTGACATCCTAGCAGTTCTTCCACTACCACAGGTTGATAATTATTTTCAGCCATCATTTTTTTTCACTATAATAAAATATTTCTAGTATTGAATGCTTTTGTTCAGTAACAAATATACTCAATCTAATTCTATTTTTTCTTTTCATTGGAGTGCTCATGTCAGGATGGGTGAGACCCTGTCCTAGCCTGCCCATCACAGCTAAAGGGAGAAAACCATTTAACATCTCTTGACCTGGAGATCTGTTACTGCCGGGCAGCATCCAAAAAGAAGAAAAGAATATTTCTTTGTATGTCCAGTAGGGCATATCAAATAGAACTTTTGATGCCTGCTAGATCTCTTAAGTTGAAACGGAGTGTTGTTTCCTCAGTCTCATATACTTAAACTATGTGTCACAGGGAGGACATCTCCCACCTTTGATCTATCCTGATGAAAATATTCCTTGTACTTTGTACAACCTGATTTTCAAATTCTTTGGAATGGATCTTGAAGAAACTTTACTCTGGATGTGCATGTCAATCTTCTCTGATGTGTATTTTTCAATTTATTAAAAACAAGGACCTTTTGTACTACTTATCTACATCAAAATTGTAACCAGCATTACTAAAGTTATGCCTTCATTATAATCATGTGCCAAGATTTGTATGAAGTGACATTAGAAATTTAAGGTTGAATTTATTTTTTTCAGGTGGTAATTTTGATTGTCATCCCCAACTTACAAAGCTCCAATTCATTGAATACAAAGAACTTGTTGAAGATTGTTGTTCTATTGCAGTATGTGCCAAGGCTTCTTAGAATCTATCCATTGTATAAAGAAGTCACGAGGACTTCTGGCATAATCACTGAAACAGCATGGGCTGCAGCTGCTTTCAATCTCTTTCTTTACATGCTTGCCAGTCATGTACGTTTTGATTATCCATGTTGCCTTTTTAAATAATTCATTCCTCCATAGGATTTTTCTCTAACAATTGACATTTTGTGTTGGGTTTATTTTAGCCTTTTCTTTTGTTGCTAGTATATATACATTAGCTTCACCTTTTTTGTCACTTTCAAGAATACTTTTGATTTACAATAACAAATCCAGTTTTATTAATGTATAATTTGGATTTTATAAATATGAAATTAAGGAGAAAAATCATAATCCAAGAAAGACTGAATTGGTTGGGGTTCTAAAAGCTAGAAAGCAGAACCAAAGTAGAGGGGCGTCTAGAATGGTTGACTTTCACTTTGAAAAGCTAGATATTTTACTAAGAGAGAGGCTTATATGTACAACTACAAGTTGCACCTCTGGACTAAGAGAGAAAAGAAATAAAAGATAAAGTGCTACAACTGTGCACTAGCACTATAGGGAAAAGAAACAACCCCTTTTGGACAATAAAAACAACGAGACAAGGCTGATTACACAAGTATAATAAAGGGTATAACGGGCTTACAAATTACCCCCTGGGCCTGGTGCCCCCCCTCCCCGAAACCAAAATATCCCTTTGCAACCTCTGCCCTATCTAGGGAACCTTACATGCTATTTGTTGTAATGTGGTTTGTTTATGATCTATCTCCCAACCGGGGTAAATTGGATCCCAAATCTGTTCCATGTGTTTTTTTGGATTATCCCTCTTCCCAAAAGGGTTACAAATGCTTCAATCTGGTCACACAAGTACTTTGTATTAATGAATGTGTCATTCTTTGAATCTGAACCCTTCTTCCAAGCCTCTCCTCAGGGGGAGTATAGTGTGAAGGAGGAGAGGCAAGCTCTATCTCCTCAAATTCCTCTTCCCTTTATTCCTGACTCCTCTCCATTTTGTGTCTTCTTGAGGTGCCATAAGGGACAGCTGAATTCAAAGGCTGTGGAGCAACTTGAGACTATACATCCAACACCATCCGACTCCTTGAAGGAAAATCCAGGTACCCTTGTCTCCTTTGATATCAATGAACCTATTGTTGTTGATGATTCTACTAATGATCTTGATGTCCCAATTGCTCATAGGAAAGGAGTTCGATCATGTACTACTAAGCATCCTATTGCTCAGTTCTTGTCCTATGAAAACATTGTCCCCTCATTTCGTGCCTTTATGACTACCACTGATTGTGTCTCCATTCCTAAAAGTGTTGCAGAAGCCTTATCTATACCTGAATGGATAGATGCAATGAAGGAAGAAATTAGCGCTCTTCACAAAAACAACACCTAGGAGTTGGTGAATCTTCCTGAAGGCAAGGAGCCAGTGGGGTGCAAGTGGGTATTCATAGTAAAGCATAGAGCAGATGGATCGGTTGAGAGGTATAAGGTCAAGTTAGTTGCAAAAGGGTATACTCGGGTGTATGGGGTTGATTATGTAGAAACTTTTTCCTTGATTGGTAAGATGAACACTATTCGGATTATACTATCCTTGGCTATTAACTTTGATTGGGAGCTCCACCAACTGGACATAAAAAATGCATTCTTAAATGGGGATTTGTAAGAAGTCTACATGATTCAGCCTCTTGGGTTTGTAGCACAAGGGTGTGAAAGGAAAGTTTGCAAACTAAAAAAATCTTTATATGGTTTGAAAAAATCCCCAAGGGCCTGGTTCAGTAGATTCCACTTGGCTCTTCAACAAATTGGGTTCAAGCAGTGCCAATCTGACCATACTCTATTTGTCAAAAGAAACCAGAAGAATGTTGTGGTATTGGTTGTCTACGTTGATGACATTGTGATTATGGGGAATTGGGACTCTAAGATTCAAAAGGTTAAAGAATCCCTTGCTATGCAATTTGAGGTGAAAGATCTGGGATAGCTATGTTATTTCCTCAGTATTGAGGTTGCCCGCTCAAAAAAGGGCATCTTCATTTCCCAAATGTCCTAGATCTCTTGCAGGACATGGGAAAGTTAGGAGCAAAGCCTGTAGATTCTCCTATTGAGGAAAACCATCGGCTTGGTGATTGTATTGGAGAACCAGTGGCAGATGTCAAGAAGTTTTAGAGGTTGGTAGGAAGACTTCTCTACCTACCAATGACTCGGCCAGGTATAACTTATGCTTTTGGTGTCCTTAGTCAGTTTATGCATGCACCAACATCCTCCCATTTAGAGGCAGCTGAGAAGGTACTCAGATATCTGAAGAAATATCTAGGAACTGGGTTACTTTTCAAGAAACATGGTCGTATGAAAGTGGAAACCTACACAAGTGCAGATTGTGCTGGAGCAGTTGATGATAGGAAATCAACTAGTGGATATTGTACCTTTGTTGGTTGAAACTTGGTCACTTGGAGAAGCAAAAAGCAAAGTGTAGTGGCCAGATCTAGTGTTGAGGCCGAGTATAGGGTCATGGCACATGGAGTTTCTGAAGTACTATGGGTAAAGAATTTGATTAGAGAGTTGGGCCTCTCTGTTGATGGCCCAATATCTCTCTACTGTGACAACAAGGCAGCCATTAACATTGCAGCCAATCTGGTTCTTCATGAYAGGACCAAGCATATTGAAATTGGCAAGTACTTCATAAGGGAGAAACTTGAAAAGGGGGAAGTTTGTACTTCTTACATCAGTTCCAAGGAACAACTAGCTGATGTTCTTACAAAGGGTCTTCACTATTTGCGACATAATGAACTGTGTGACAAGTTGGGCATGATTGACATATATGCTCCAACTTGAGGGGGAGTGTTGTAATGTGTAGTGTCATAGTAGGGGCATTTCTGCCTTTTTTCCTATTGTATTTGTTATAAGCTGTCGCCCTAAGTATAAATACTAACTTAAGCGCCACCAGCTAGAAATTTGCATAGAATACTTATCCTCTTCTCTCTTTCTCCTTTCTTCCTTCTCTTCCTTCTCTTTTCTCTCTTCTAGTTCTATCGAACTACATTATTTACTGTTCTTGGGATATACCTGAATGAGCAATTCAGGCTAGTTGACAAAGCTTTTGCTTCTCTAATTGAGAATTTGAGTGTTCAGGGAATTTCTCTGCTTAAGGACAGCCAATTAAAAACTTCTTTTCAGTTCCCTTGTACTATCAAACTGGTCCAGCCCATTGAAAAGTTTAGTTTTAATCCTTGTAGAAGTGCCAAAAATTCTGCTTTCAGGATATGCCTTGACCTGGTGGATTTGAGAAGCTGAGCAGAATTTTCCCCCATGATATCTAAAGACTAACTCTATACCTAGATCCTAAATTACCTAAGCAGCCATCTGAACTTTATATTGCCCACTTTTGGAGATGCACACTCAACAATATTCTGTTGTCTGCTGGTTGCAAAACTAGCCACTGTCTGCCAGCTTTGCAAGACAAAATCCATCAAGACCCCCTGAACTCTTCCCATAGTCAATACTCAATGAGCAACTTTCACCATGATGGGGTCAATAAGGATGCTAATATTTTGTTCCTTGTTCTAAAAGGTTCTGGCATTTCTTTTACTCCAAATGCTCCTAAGTACTGCCATTTTAGTGCAACACCATATAATTTCCTCTTTTGTGTGTAAAGAGATCCTTTAGGATGAGAACAAGTCTATAGTATGTCCAGTGGAGGAGTCCAAGTAGCAAGAAGAGAAGGAAAAATGGTTCAACAGTGTACTGAGGGAGCAAGAAAAGAATAGGTGATTGACATTCTCCTTGTTCTTCATCAATGGATGCATGCATAAATGAGGGGAGAGGCACCAAGATTTCTGTCTCCATTGGAGCACCTCACATATTCTTCAATGCAGCTTTCCTGCAAAATTTGCATCGATGGCACTTAGCAGAAGGATTGATCAGGACTGATTGGTGGGCCTCCTCTTTGGTGGGCTGAAACATCAAATATTGTCCTACCTTTGTACCTCTTTGTACCTCAACAAAGCCTTGCCCAACCATATGGGGTCGGGTAACCTGTTCTGCTATTCAGTTCTGCTTAGTGCCAATATCCATTGCTGAATTATGGGCCCTCAAATAATTTCTCACTACTTCAATCCATGCCATTTCTTCCTGCCCTTAGCTATTCTAGACCCTTCAAATTGCAACAGGTGACCCAACCATCTTCCTCTACATGTGACCCTCAATTACTTTTTCTTATTGGTGCCATAGGTGGTCTTCTCTTCATGTGACCGAATCATATTTGGTCTACTTTTCCTCATTTTTATAACCTATGTGTTACACCTAGATTCCCACAAATATGATAATTTTTTATCTTACCTTTTCTAGTTTTTCCACTTTCTCAACATTCACATCTCTGCCATACTCATTTTTGAACATGTTTTTTTTTTTTTGATTGCCCAACAATCTATTGTATAGAATATTACCAGCCTCACAGTCATCTTAGAAAATTTTCCTTCTAGCCTAAGTGATATTCTCGTATCATTCAGGAAATTGGATGCACCTCCTCCATTTTGCCCGTCCTGCTCTGATTTTGTGGGTGACATCCTCAATCTCTTCCTTATTAGGAATTTTAGAACCAAGGTGACAGAGGAGGTTTCATTGAGGTATATCTTGGTATCCGATCATAATTGCACCCTGATACCTACTCATACTATTATTAGAGTTACATTGTATATACTCTGTTTTATTTCTGTTTTATTTCTACTAATCATAAGATCTTTTGTTTCTAGGTAATCTCTCTATACATCTTCCTTTGCATCTAATCCCACTCTAGTTTCATCAATTAATAGCTTGCTATTAGCAAACAATATACAACCATGTGACTTCCTCCTAAATATACCTAGCCAATTCATCAATATTTTCATATTTATGTCAAATATTTATTTCTTTTTCAAAAGGAKAAAAAAGAATGGAAGGAAATAGTTTTAGGAAAGAAGATTTACTGCTGTTTGTGATGTTAAGTTGGTATAACTTTATACATCATAATCCTTGCTAGAGGTTAACTTACTGATGGTTTTAGGGTGGGTGGTATGTAACACTAAAAATGCAAAGAACACGAACCCTGAATCTGAGAACACAATGTTCTTACTTTTTATTTCAACCTTCTCTGTCTATGAAGTAATGAAGTTAAAGTAGCTTTTTCTTTAATTTTTTTTACCCATAAACTTTACCAAAGGCCTTTTCTTAATTTCTCCTGAATCCTGGTAGAAGGTTTACCTTTCTGATAGGGCGTAGAGATGTAGACAAAAAAACTATATATATATATCTTTATGGATAACCCCGATAAAATTTCAAAAAAATAGGATGAAAAATACAATGGTTATTTTTTTCTTCAGAAGAGGGGTCTTTAAGGATCACAATGTTCACTATATTAGAGGTCCAAGCTTTGTTTGGTTTCTTCGACATTTTGGCACATGACTTACCAATTAGATTGTGATTGCAACTGAAATAATACTGTCACATTTTTTTTGCTCATAAATCTTGTTAGTTTTGACATAGATGTCTGCCCTATCAGGTACTTGGGGCCCTATGGTACTTATTTTCAATTGAACGAGAAGATGCATGCTGGCGACGTGCATGTGGGAATGATACTGTATGCAGGGAAAACTTATATTGTGGTGGTGAAGCTAAGACAGGGGTGAGGGTTTCATTTCTAAATGATTCTTGCCCTATTTCAGATAAAAATACAACATTTTTCGATTTTGGAATATTCCTTGATGCTCTTCAGTCTGAAGTAGTGGAGTCAAGTAACTTTCTACAGAAATTGTTTTACTGCTTTTGGTGGGGACTGCGAAATCTGAGGTTTGTGTTAGATGTCCTCTGCTTTTGCTTGAGTTAGAACAGTTTCCATCGGTTTTTGCACTGAATTGAAATTTTACAATTATCTTTTTCCTAGTCCAAAATGGGTTCCTCAGATGTTTATTAGAGCATTGATTATGCAAGACATTTATCCCAAAAGAAAATTAGTTTAACATGGAAAATGTGTCATATGCCGTTGGTTACTATGCTTATTTATGCTTACTGTGGTGTATGAATGGACTAGAGACAGCATTAATATTGTAGCACAAATGGATTTTTCCCAAAAGATTTCTAATTCTGATATTTCTTGGTGCAATGGTAAAATCTTGGTCTGACAAACATGAGAACGTGGGTTTACTTTGTATAACCACCAGTCTACACCTCTCAATTCTCAAGACCTCAAATATTTGGGACATCATTGGGTAATGAACCTATGAGCCTACTGGTGACCATCATATTTTTCTGTCATATTCGTTACATAGTAGAGAGAACAGCTTTTTAGAATGTTGCATTGTTTATCTTCTCAAGGGCTAAGTTCTCATACTTTTAGCAGCAAATCGCCATATTGTAGCATGTTTTTGGAGCTAATGTGTGATCTTTTCTACTTTTACTGTTTACAGTTCTCTTGGTCAAAATCTGAAAACAAGTACTTTTGTTTGGGAGATTTGTTTTGCGGTCTTCATTTCTATCTTCGGCTTGGTTCTCTTTTCATTGCTTATTGGCAATATGCAGGTTATTACTGAATCATTTCCTTTCCACGCTTTCCATGTTTGGGTATATTTTTGTGAGGGTAGGGGATGGAGCATATGCCATTGGAGAAAAAATTGGTCCAAACAATAAAAAAAAAAATAGAGAAAAAGTGGTCTGTAAAAATTTCAATTGATTGGATGGTTATGATCATCTGATTTGATTAAAGTCATAAAATCTCCTATGGTCTTTAGACAATGGATACGGTCAAACTATAGAAAACCGTGTGGCATTGCATTCAGAAAACTGCACATTTTCTCCTCAGTTTTCCGAAACTAATATAATGGCCCTTTTTTCTTGTGCTGCAACAGACATATCTTCAGTCCATCACTGTTAGATTAGAAGAGATGAGGGTGAAGAGGCGAGATGGAGAGCAGTGGATGTCCCACCGTTTGCTTCCAGACGGCCTGAGGGAGAGGATAAGGCGGTATGACCACTACAAATGGCAAGAAACAAGAGGTGTTGATGAAGATAATTTGCTACGTAACCTTCCCAAGGACCTAAGGAGGGACATAAAGCGCCATCTCTGCTTGGATCTACTCAAGAGAGTGAGTCCTGATTTTATATTTTTCTTGCAACTTATTACATCTAAGTTTAGCAATTAGATGACATGAGCTGTGCCAGCTAGCTCAGGCTTATGATGAGCTCAAAGATTGGAGATTTAGCTTGGCTAGCCTGCCCAAGGTCTTGCATTGCAGTAGTAGGTATTCCTTATGGCTTATGCATATTATTCTATACGGTATTACCAAAAAAAATGCGTTATTTCAACTTTTATTAGATTTTACCTACTGACAAGAACATGGATCAACCACATAAACTACAACGCATCTATATGGGGATCCTACTTTTGGTTGGTTGGTTGCTTTTTCTTTTGGATGGCACGATTAAGCTTGGATTTGGTCCTCCCAGAGCAGTACTCACAGCCTTTTGCAGCTGTGTATTTGTTTTTTTTGACAAAGTGCAGCTGTGTATTGGGAATATTTACATACTGATATGCTTTTTATTCATTGGGAAATATTCCCGATGCACGGCTGTAAGGGAATGTGAGAACGTGTAAGGACGGTTTTGTGAGGATCAGATCCGATTTCTGCACGATTCAAAAAAGCAGGGTCCCACTTTTGGTTTTAAAATAACAATGGTTGTTTTCCAAGGTGCTTGTTTTCAGTTTTTATGGAAGAGTAGGGGTAGGGGATGCTATATTGCATTACTGCTATGATGTCATACACTCGTACTAAAGCATTATCCACCTAAGCAATAAGAGAAAAAAAAAAAAAACTGTTTCCTGTTTATGAACTGTACACTTTTTAATTGTTTTTATTTTTTAATTTCACATGCGACCACGGTCGCAGCAGATTTCTCCTGTCTTCCTGATCTTGAAAATGAAACACCGCATTAGCAAATGGCAAAGTAATATTTCCATTTTGAGAACACCCAAAAAACAAGTACTACCTGCTTTCTGAATTCTGTAAGAGTGAAGATGTATCAAATTTTTAGCCAGTTCTGGATTGGGCAACTTCATAGTTATTCGTAGCTATAAAAGTAGTAGTTAATTATTTAGATGCATGACCTTTAGGTACCAATATTTGAAAAAATGGATGAGCAACTGTTGGATGCAATGTGTGATGGCCTGAAGCCAGTGCTCTACCCTAAGGAAAGCTACATTGTTCGTGAAGGGGACCCGGTTGATGAGATGCTCTTCATCATGCGAGGCAAGTTATGGAGTGAAACCACCAATGGTGGAAGGACAGGATTCTTCAACTCAGACTATCTCAAGGCTGGGGACTTCTGTGGAGAAGAGCTGCTCACGTGGGCTCTGGATCCTCACTCCTCTTCAAACCTCCCCATCTCAACCCGAACCGTGCGAGCCCTGACAGAAGTTGAAGCTTTCTCTCTTATGGCTGATGACTTGAAGTTTGTGGCCTCCCAGTTCCGGCGGCTCCACAGCAAGCAGCTCCGGCACACCTTCAGGTTCTACTCGCAGCAGTGGAGGACATGGGCTGCCTGTTTTATACAGGCAGCTTGGCGTCGGTACTGTAAGAAGAAGCTGGAGGAGTCTCTACGTCAGGAGGAAGATAGGTTACAGGATGCATTAGCGAAGGGGGTTGGGAGCTCCCCAAGCCTTGGGGCCACCATCTATGCTTCACGATTTGCCGCTAATGCACTACGTCTCCTAAAGCGTAATGGTGCACGCAAGGCGAGGTTGCCGGAAAGAGTACCACCCATGCTGCTTCAGAAGCCGGCAGAGCCTGATTTTTCTGCAGAAGATCGTTAGCATTAGCAAGGCGAAATGCTGATCTCCCCAGTTGTTCTGATGTGCAGAGAATTGAGTAAAAAATGGGGCTTTTCAGATCTCAATGACATGGTCATGGTTCTTCGCTTCTTCCACACAGTAATGATGCTCCTGTTTGTAATATAAAGTAGTGTGTTTTGCGTGTTTGTGCTTGTATACGAAAACTGGATTTGTATATATATCCTTTTGGGTTTTGGTTCTTTTCTTTCTTTTGGCAGAAAAAAAATGTGAGTTAAGATTATTGAACTCTGCCCAAGCCTTTTCTTTATAGTTTATACTGATCTTCATTCTTAAGAAACATGACGTTAGTCCTAGATCTGCTTTTTGCAAGCTCGGTTCTCCCCACAAGCAAAAACTCTACATCTACTTACACATAATCTAAGCACGTATTAGAAAACATCTCTCGTCTGTATATGTTAAATTCATAGGAATATATTTTTAAATGTGCGGCCGGAAGTGTAGGCGGCTGCGGAACCAATCACAAGTTAACATCACATTATCGCTACACGCCTACACCTACACATGGCTATTATGAAACACTGGCACTGGCATGCTTGATTGTGATTGGTTAGCCGTCTGTTATATATGTCTATATCCGCAACAGATCTTTGATTATGCGACAAATTCTACATTACAATGAATAATTAAAGCTTAGGGACAGTTTTGGTTGATTTTTATGCTTTGAAAAATAAAAGGCAGAGACAAATAGAGGGGTTCTATAACATTGAATACTTTTATTTTCATTTGTTTTTAAAATTGCCACTTCAGCCAAAAAAATGGTAATTGGAAGTGTTTTATCTTGATGGTTTTCGACCTATTCACAGGCCCAAGTTTTGGTCTCATGAAGCAAGAGTGTTAGTCACAGTTACACCTATTATTCATTGATTTTAAGGAATACGAAAAGATCGTAGAAGTCTCTCTCTCTCCCCTCCCTCATCTCTCTTGCTTTCTTTTTATGCTACCGAAAACTTATTATTTGTTCTAAATTTTATTAGTTATTTATTTATTTTTATTTTCTCCCCTTATTCTTCATTTGTCTTCATCTAGATAGTTAAAAATGAAACAAGATATTTTCTCCTTTCTCCGTAATTCATTCTAAGGGAATGAGAGTGCTCGATTGTTTGGTTTCAAGAATTAGGTTTAATCCGTCGAATTCGAATTCGGTTTTTATTTTTGAATATCCATTGAATATTGAATCGAATTCGAATAATCAGTTTTGTAATCGAATTCGAATTCGAATAATCAGTTTTGTAATCGAATTCGAATTCGAATATAACATGATTCGATTCGAACTCGCTCCGTTTACATGCCTAATAACCAAGAACATGTTTCTTGTGTTTATTTTCCAACCAAATTGTCATGTCTTTGAAACCCATAGCAAGAAAGACGATTCATATTGGAGAAACACCCCCATAAGTTGTAAGATGTATTTATTGATTCTAAGTGGGTGTCTGTATGTACCAAGGTTTTAAAAGGCTAAAGGCGAAGGTAAAACGGTTGGGTCTTGAAGAAACGAGGTGTAAGCCTTGAGGCAGTTTGAGGCGTAAGCCTCAAGCCTCAAATAAAAAAAAAAAAAAAATTATGGGCATAGTCCATAAACAACAAAAACAATAAAAAAAGAAAGAATTGAAGTTTCATATAATTATTTATGGCTTAATTTGTATATTAATGGTCTGATCACCAATGACCAATAATTCTTCAAATTAAACCAGCATTGTTTTCCTAAAATCATTAACAAATATACCTTAACAAACACACAAACAACCCAATGGACAAATAACAAAATATGGATCCTTGATGTGCAATGTCCTGAATAAAAAGCAAATTAAGTCTTCAGAGAACTGATCTTTATTTCTTTTTTGTTAAATGCTCATGGATTAAAGGAAAAATGTAGAGAATTGATACTTCAGTTATTTTACTACTTAAACAAGTTGACAGGGATAAAATACTGAACTATTTTTAGTTAACATAACCGCTATACTCCAATAATCCAAAAGCAATAAAGAAAGGAAAAAAACGATGAAAGCAAACTCAGAGAAGAAAAAGAAAAGAAAAAAAAAACTATAGAAATTTGAAATCTCAATTTGTCCTTAAAAGCATATTGGACTTCATAGAAGATGTGAAGATGTTTTAAAGGATAAGTTGAAAAATTCTTAAACTTCCCTAATAGTAACATTAGATATTTATTCTCAACAAGCTGCCCAACCCAGGACAGCCAAAAGACATATATAAAGCCATTTATATATCAATCTGGTTTAAATTTTTAAACAAACAAATGTTTCATCGGTTTTTCTTGAGGTTCAATTTATCGTGGCTTCAATAAAATAACTTCATAAGAGTTAAGAGATACAAAAAGAATAAATAAATAAATAAATAAAGAAGAAGAGGACAGGGGATGATTCAAGGATGTGAGGGCAAAAGAAAACTATTGTTAACCTACTAGAAATTGGCCGAATGTTTACCATGGATGAGAAACAATTAGGCTCCATTTGGAAGGAGTACAAATACAAATATGTAGAGCGCAAAACCTAATATTTTGCATAAATTTGTATTGTACGTATTTGTATTTGTATTCCTTCCAAACTGAGCCTTACCAAATGTTTCAAATATGGTATAAAATAGAAATTTAACACTTCAGCATATTATGTATTTATGTTGAGAGTTGAGACCTAATCGTGGAATCTACTTCTTAATGTGGTTTTCCACTTTTGCATGCCGAAGCCTTGAACAAATAACCAATGGCCTATCAATGTTTATTAATTGGGAAAATTCTTGATTAGTACTTGTACTTTGGTTCGAGCGACAATTTGGTCTCTGAACTTTAAAATGCAATAATTCAGTATCAAAGCTTTTAAAATGTGACAATTCAATACCTGAACTTTCAAATGTGACAATCCAATACCTACCGCTAAACAGTCTGTTAATCTGCTGTTAAGTGACATTTGAAAAGTAAAAAATACCCTAAGAATGCCATCTAATTCTCTTTATCAACCACCCAAACATCGACAATAAAATGAACAATCCCAAATTCTAGATTCTTCTAAACAATCACCAACTTTTTTGAATAGAAGAGGTTAGGATTTGGGACTGTTCAGTTTTTTGTCAACATTTGGATGATTGATAAAGAGAATTAGATGGCATTCGAAGGACATTTTTGACTTTTCAAATGTCACTTAACGGCTGATTAACATACTGGTTAATGGTAGGTATTGGATTGTCACATTTTGAAAGTTCAGGTACTGAATTGTTGCATTTTAAAATTTGAGTACCAAATTGTCACTCGAGCCAAAATACAGGATACTGATTGAAAAWTTTCCCTCATTAATTTGTAGGGTAAAATACGGAAATCTATGAGTGGCTGTTGATCCTAAAGCCACCAAATCCTCTTTGAGCAATGTGGAAGAAAGAAGAAGACCAGAAAAATTGAAACGTAAATACAATAATAAAATGAACAAATGATGCAAGCAGAAAAACCTCAAAACTTGGAAAAGAAAGAAACTTTGAGTTTAAGGAGAAGAAGAAGAGAGTATGTTACATACCTGCAAGCTCCAAGCCTCCAACCATTCTCTTTTCCCTTGTTGTTCAATGTTAGAGAGAGTCTAGAGTAGAGACTAGAGAGAAAGACGTCATTGGAATTCCGTGGTCTACAAAGAAAGGAGGGTTTGAAAGAGAAAACAGCCGACCCAAAAGCCCTAAATTTGTATTTTTTTGTTCGTTCATGTGTTATCTAGCATATAAGGGCAACTTTTGGGGTTTAATATCAATAAAAGTATTATATTTAAAAATACTTAAAAAATAGATTAACTTTTTAAAAATAATATCAATAAAGGGCAAAAACACTATTCATCTTCTTCTTCTTACCATTTGTTCACTAGAGCCGCCATCTGTCGTCGCCCGCCACCGCCGTCCGCTGTTGCCTACTACTGCCTCCACCCACTTTCGCCTCAGCCTCCAGCAACGTTGTTGGAGGCAGAGGTGGTGGCGGTGGTCATTCCTCTGCCCGCCGCCACCGCCACCTCTGTCTCCACCCATCTCCAGCAACGTTGCTGGAGGTGGAGGTGGAGGTGGGCGGAGGTGGCGGAGTTGGATAAAGAAACCACCAGTGCCGTCCCCGCCATCTCTGATTCCAGCCACCTCTGGCAACGTTGTCAGAGGCAGAGGCGGAGGCGGGCGGCAGTGGCGGGTGGTGGCGGACAACGGCTCTGGTGAACAAATGGCAAGAAGAAGATGAACAATATTTTTGCCCTTTATTGATATTATTTTTAAAAAAWTAACCTATTTTTAAAATTTTCTTACATATATTACTTTTATTGATATTAAACCCCAAAAATTGCCTTTATATGCTATTACCCCTTATTAAATTTCAAAGGACCTGGGATTTGAAATAAGTGGCTTTGACTGATACTCTTTGAAGCGACCGCCTTACACATAAAGAAGCTAAAGGCTAAAAGCGTGCGCCTTCAGCAACTTAAGGCGTGTGCCCTAGCGAACATGGTTGAGGCTACTGAGGCCAAGCGATTTTGTACCGCCTCGCCTTGAAGCGTACGCCTTTAGCCTCGCCTCAGTCGCCTTYTAGAACTATCTATGTACTTGTTGACACAGCCTCTGTGTTTAAAAAATCCAATGGTTGGTTTGGATATTGTTTTGTTTGGATGGAAAATAAGATGAGTTTGGATATACTGACCACAACACGTTGTTGATATTCCCAATGTGTGGCTAGATGAATATGAGTGTAGCCAACAATGTGTCATGATCAGTATATCTAAACTTGAATAAGATCACTCGTTATAAGATGATAGGGTAAACGATGATGTGGTATTTGGGTGAAGCTTACTAGGTGGGCTCTTGTGGATAAATGAAAATATGTTTATTTAGATCCCAAGTCCCACTTAATCTTAGACAACTTCATAAGTTGGAAGGAAAACAACAATAAATCAGTAAATTTTATTGTATAATAAGAGAATATGTGCTGAAAAGTAGAGAGAATGAAGAGATCATGGCCGTCTCCTAACCCCTAACCCCTTGCAAGATATATTCTATTAATTGTAATTAAGAAAATTACAAGTCTGCCCTTGCAACAACGGCAGTAATAATAAACAAACAGAAGTAGTAAAGATGAATAAATAAAGGTGGGCCTTGGCCCATTACTACTAAAGCCCATTTAGCACAACATAAAAGAGAAAACATATTAGTACTCATCCTGATATCTCCATAGTCCCCTTTAAGCTGAGTATTAGTGTCAATTATGCCCAATTTGCTTACATAGGGCTGCAATTTAAGCTTATGATCATCTTTAGTAAAGATATTTGCCAATTG